GAAGGGCTAGTTTTGAACTCGATGCAAAGCTCCTCTTCATTCCTCTGCACCGTATTACTACTGGGTAAGATAGGGTCAGTAAGAAAGAAGGGTCCTGGTAGGTTCAGGGCAGTTCATTTCTATAAGCCACATCCCAAAGTGACTCAGGTTACAAAAGGTTCAGTTCTCTAGCCAGGGTTCAATGTGACAAACGAAGGTCATCAATCCCTGGAGGGTAAGAGTGTGAAAAACAGATGGCTGATGAATTTACCAGTCCCTTTGGAGGAAATGAGGATTGGGGAAGAAAGGTGAAAGTACTGAGCCACCGAAAGAGAAGCTGGAAAGCCTCCCTGTATTCTTGGTTGTGGGGCTGCCTTTTCAAGAGGAGAGAGTTGGCTGGGCCAGGGGCATGACCAAGGTTGCAGGCCAAAAGCGCATGGTTCCCTTACGGGCTGAGATTGCAGTCACTTGTGCTCCAGCCAAGTGAGCTAAAAGACCGCAGACAACAGACCTCTTGTCCTGTTATTGTTCTCAGAAATCTGGGGTGACTGGAGCAAAACAACTTTCCAGCTAAGGAAAAGCCTAAACACACACACACACACACACACACTACACACACACACACGCACACACACAATTGAGCCCACTGTAATTTTGATAAATGATGAGTGGGGTTTTCCAAGAAATAACACTTGAAGGGGTTTCAGCTTAGGTTTAAGATTCATAGGTGCTATTTAACCTCCTTATGATATCATTTCGTCAAAATATTAGCTGAGGAACAGAAAGGGCTTTTCTTTAAGGGATTTCTAAAACAGTGGTCTGATTCTTTCATCCATCCTTAAGTTGATAGTGCCAAATGGAAGCAGCATGATGGTTAAGTATCAACCTTGTATGAATACAGTGGTGAACCTCTCTATGTTTAGGAAAGAGAACCTACAGGGAGGAGAGAAACAACGATTAATTTGATGTACTCATTTGCTGAATTTATTTAATGTTGAAGATCATATTTTCTGAGGGAAGTATAGTTTAAAATAAAATTTTATACAATTTTTAAAAGAAATATTTTATTTGACTTTATTATTTTCGTTTAGGAAAGGGAACCTACAGGGAGGAGAGAAATAATGATTAATTTGACGTACTCATTTTATGAATTTATTTAATGTTGAGGATCATATTTTCTGAGGGAAATAAAATTTTATACAAATTTTAAAAAGAAATATTTTATTTGACTTTATTATTTTCCAGTTTGATCAGACAGAGAGAAGGGAGGAGAGTGAGAAAGCAAGCCACCAGGTCCAGGACTTGAACCGTAGTTGGCTATGTGGTAGTCCAACACCTTTAACCACCACACCACCTGCCAGACCCAAAATTTTATACAATTTTAATCCAACACTCAGTAGTATTTAAAAAAATGACTGGCCTATGGCTGATGCTCGGCAGCTACCTACAAAGGGCTGCCTTATGAAGGTTCCTTCCAGATGGCACTTTGATGATGACAATGATGACCAAAGTGCTAGGCAACAATATCCACTAATCCTCCCAACAATGCTGTGAGGTAGTTAAAAATGATTGCCTTTGTTTACTCCCCTTATACTAGGCTCTAAAACATAACATATCTAGGGCACATCATTAAAAAGTAGCAGGTGATGCAAACTGATGTGGCCCTGCTTCTAGAGTTGAATTCTTTCTTTCTTTCTTTTTTTTTTTTTTTTAGAGGTTTTTGCTATAGGGTGTGTGCGCTGGCCAGAAAGACAGAGAGAGACAGAGAGACAGAAAGCGAGAAATCATCCCCCAGGGGAGACGGCTATGCCGCAATCCCTTCTCCTCCATTGTCCTCTGGGGATCTTGGGCATGCACGCACACGCGCCCGGCATGAGTTTAAGCCACTGGATCTGGGACTTGAATCGTGGTCAGCTACACGGGAGTCCAGTGACTAGCCATTACACTAACTGCTGGTCCCAGATTCTTTTTTTTTTTAAATGAGTGATTTTTGCTATAGGGCACATGCACTGGCAGAGAGACAGAGAGAGACAGAAGGAAGAAATCAGCCCTCGGGGGGATGGCCATGCTCCAATCCCTTCGACTCCATTCTGCTCTAGGGATGTTGGGCATATACATATATGTGCTCAGCATGAGTTTTAAGCCACCAGGTTTGGGACTCAAACCATGGCTGGCCATATGTGAGTCCAGCCATGTAACTATCATGCATTCTGCAGGTCCTTAGAGTTTGAGTTCTTAATCACTGTTCTAGACTATATGCCAGCAGCCAATGCTGGACTGAAGTAGTAAATTAGGGCTCTTGCCTAAAGTGAAGAGGAAAAATTCTTCCTTTTTAAAGAATTATTTTATTGAACTTTAATTAATTAATTAATTAATTTTAATTTGACCAGAGAAGGACAATGCGAGAGAGAGAAGGAAAGTGAGAAAGCAAGTCACCAGGTCTGGGAGTTGAACCATGGTTGGCCATGTGGGAATCCAACGCCATTAACCATCATGCCACTGCCAGCCCCAGGAAGAAGAATTCTTTAGATTACTTCAACACCATTTTGGGAGATGCATGTGTGTTAGGAGGGCAGTGTTTGTATTTCATTCCATCCTCCAGTGGAGGTTGTGCTTTGGCAACATACTCCTCAAGAAACCCACCACTGCAAATTAAAACAAATAAAAAAAGTTAAATAAAATAATTCTTAAAAAAAAATTAGGGCTGGGAAGTAGTACAGTGGTTAGATGAGCTGGACTCCCACATGACTGACTACGGTTCGAGTCCAGGACCTAGTGGCTTGCTTTCTCACTTTTTCTATCTCTTTTTGTCCTTCTCTGGTCAAATTAAAAGAAAGAAAGAAAGAAAGAAAGTTAAAGAATTCTTTAAAAAAAAGAAAGAAAAGAAGCTTATCACTGGTGAGTCTGACTCTAAAATTTATCCTTAAGTTCCTTTTTTTTTTTTTTTGCAGAATCCCCAAGCCTATTTTTCAGTAGATGTTCTGTTACAAAGTGGTAATGGGGTTCCCAGAGCAGTTCATAAAAGCCAGTTTAACTCATTAAAATACAAAGTATCTGCAGAACAAACTGATAAACCAGATGGAAAAATGTGCTATTCAATAAGATAAAATTCATAAAATTAACTTTGGAGCTCACGGAAATGCAAACTTAATAAAGGAAACAATTTTTCAAAATCTGAAAGAAGCTTCTAGGTGCTTTTTTTTTTTTTTTGAGAGTTTTTTTCGCTATAGGGCGCGTGTGCTCGCCAGACAGACAAACAGAGACATAGAGACAGAAAGCGAGAAATCACCCCCCAGGGGGGATGGTCACGCCACAATCCCTTCTCCTCCATTCTCCTCTAGAGATCTTGGGCACACACGCACACGCGCCCGGCGTGAGTTTAAGCCATCAGGTCCTGGACGCGAACCTCGGTCGACTACGTGGGAGTCCAGCGACATAGCCATTACGCTAACTGCTGGTTCCCAAGATAAGTACAGCTATTTGAGCCCCATGTGGGGACCTTGGACAGGAGGGAACCACAGAGTGGGCATGTGTCTCTTGAGAAAGACAAATGTGTTCAGAGCATACGTGTGTGTCCACCACGGTGCCCACACACTCGCTTGTGCTTGTGTTTTGCTGTTCACTAATTCAGCTTATCAAGCATCATCTCTGAGGCCAGTACCGTGCTCACAGATAAATTCCCTGTCCTCATGGAGCTTCTATTTTGTGTGTGAAGAATAGAAAGAATAAACAAGCAAATATATTAAAAACAGAATAAAATAACAGACAGTAATAACAGCCCAGATGGAAGTAATTAAGCCACTAAGAGAATAAATAACAGGGACAACAAACTATTACAGAAGGGAAGTGTCTTGGAAGAAATGAGGTAGAAGTCAACCCAGAGGCATGAGGAAGAGTAGGGA